TTAAAAATTTTGTTAAAAGCATACAAAGCTGTAATTGATGCAAATGAATATTCAACCCGATATTAAAACTATTTTTTTGCCGAGTAAAATGATATAAATGTACATGTATTGCTGATCATTTTCCGATTCCAAGCTTTATTTTTAATCCAATGCTTGCATCTATCATAATTTTACGCATAAACCGCCTCAGGTCTGCTACTTTAAACCTGTTAAAAGTTGATTCAGACCCGGAATGTTTGGTGTACGGCGGAAGGATACTATCGTAGGGTCTTGGATATAGAGGTTCTTGTAATTTCCCATTCCTATCGTAACATCTTTCAAATCGGATTTTCTAATAAAGAATAAAAAAATTTTACAAATGGTGGATTATTTTTAACCGCACTTTAGACCCGGGTCTACTAAGTGGGGAGGGTCTACTATAATGGGGATTGTTCATGTGGCAAATTACAGTAGTCCACTGAACTGAAATAGTAACTCTAATGACATGCTTCGATCCAATACTAAGTTGAAGCGTTAGATAATGAATTAAAATAATACTGTAAATAAATAATGGTTCTATATCCGTAGACTATTCTAATACGATAATAAAAATTTTATTTTAAGTTATACTGTATGTATAAAATTCTTTAAAGATGAAATTATGCAAGTATTTATAAAATACAATGTCATATAAAGTATAACTTTTATCGCACTTCACTAATGCTTTGATTCACCAAAGCTTGTTCACGCCACTTTGGACCTCGAGCATATACCAATATCAAAAGTAACCCCCCAATTACAGAAAGAAAGCCAAGGATGGTAAATATCCAACCAATGCACAAAGCTTGATGCATGGGTACAGCAAGAACAGACATTGCTGCTGCTGCCAAATAGCGCATACAATTATTGGTGGCGATTGCTGAAGCGCTTAAGGATGGAAACGTATCGACCACGTAACTCGATGTTGAAGAAAAGACGAGCATAGTTCCAAGGCCAACTATATTTATAAAAATCAATTAATTTGAATAAATAATTTTATAATTTATGATTGCGTATAATAACTTTTATTCAATTACCGAAAAACATTGTTACTAGCGGCCATATTAACGGCGACCTAAACTCTACTAACCACCCAAACGTCAAAGTAGAAAACGAGAAAATAATTGCACCAAACCAAACACTTTGAAGTCGAAATTCCGGTATATACTTTCCGTCGTGACATTTTTTCCCCTTAAGTAATATGTAGTCCGAGTACCGACCACCGAAAATCGAGCCAATTAAGTAGCCAATACAATTTGGAAAAATTATCCAACCGATTGCGCTTGTTGAAAGATTATAAAGAGATGGAAAAGTCGTCGAAACTAAAATATATTGGGTGTACAAATTTGCATAGAGAATACTGACATAGAATACTACTATTTGCAAGTGTGGGTATTTAAGAAGATATAGTGGTCCGAGTGGGTTAAATCGTTTTCTCCCTTTTTGGTCCGTTGATGGTGTAGCTGATGGAACATTTTGCTGATAGAATGTCTCCGGGAGAAAAAAGAAAATCGCAAGAATAATTATGCCTCCTAATACCAATAAAAACCAGAATGTTGATCTAAAACAGGAAAATTCAAAATTAATTATTTAAGAAATGTAACATTGCGTTAGTTAATATACAAAATTCGAACCTCCATCCAAATTTTTCTCCTAAATAACCGCCAATTACAGGACCAGTTACTGTTCCTATTTGAAGGTGAAAAAATTTGAAATATTTTTCTACGCATATATTATAAGTATAAACGCATACCAATTAGCGGGCCGACATAAAATAGGCCAAAAGACGCGCCTCGTTCTAAAAAAACAATGAGTATGAATACAAATAAATATAAATATAACCTTGATAATTTCTTTTAAAGATACCTAAAGATGGATAAATATCGCTTATAGTTCCTGCTCCGATACTATGAACAGCTGAAGCACCGCATGCTTGTAAGGCTCGCATCATTAACAATAACCAAATGTTATACGATAAAGCACAAATTGCAGAGGCAACAAGAAAGATTAAGAATGAGAATAAATAAACGGCTCGTCGGGTGCCTCGCGTATCGGAAAATGATGCCCATCCAAGTGGCTACGTAATTATATAAAATATTAAATCGTATTTATTAAGATTGAAAGAAGTAACAAATTTCGTACTGCAATTCCGAGAACCAAGATAAATACGCCGACTATTAGTATTAAAACAGAATATGATGTGAGATTGCGATGAAATCAGAATGAATATTATGGTGGTGATGGTGGTGTTATTATTGTACCTAATGAATTTGCAAGTATTTGAGGAATATTCAAGTCTTCTTGAATTATATTTAGTGTTGGATAAAGGATCCTAATTGTAAAGAAGGAAATAAACAGCAAGAACGAATCATTTGTTTCCTCATCATACAAATCGAATAAAATCACATACGTGCTAGAAAGAGGCGCAATTATCCCGGCAAATGCAACCAAAATCAAAATTATTCGTTTTTTTTCTCGAGACCAATTCATTGGATTATTTTCGTCTAGCAATGTTCTCTCTTCTTTCTCGTTATCGCTAAGAATGCAATTTTCGATTTTCATTACCTCATCGTTATGACAGACAATTGCCATGTCTTCATCATTAATGGCGTTGTTAGAATAACATGAATTGATTATTTTTTTTTCATTATTTATTATCTCAAAGGTTATTTTAGGACTACTGTGACGTTCGAAAGTTTGAGTGTGGTTGTGTGGTTCTTGGGAATTTTTATCGCTATGTGTTTTTTTTAAACAAGGCGAAGGAATTTGAACATTGGAATTTCTAGTTAATGAAATCTCAGTCGATGCTTGCAAGCCATTTTCTTCGTTAGAAAAATTATTCAAATCTATCATAAATGCTTTTACGTTTGAATACATAAATTATAAATGATAATATAGGGTACTACAGCAATATGAATATGAACGATGGAATAGGTCTTTTTATTGACAAAAACAGTCATCTTTCAAAGATTTAATGTATATTAAAGATATCAGTATCATTTTAATGAATCATAAATTTATCTTTACTTAGTATATTACTACTTAAATGATTTTAGTTATAACACCGTAATGAAGACGCCTTACAATAAATCCTAGAAATATGGCACATTAGCTTATATATATATCTCTGTTTTATGGTAAATAAATCATGTAGTTAATCATTATTGCTTTCGATCCTATTCTTTCATTGTGTACATTATTTTTGAAAAATATGAAATTTTGTTTTATATTTATTCTGAGATTTGAACCATTTCTGGATCAGTATTATCTATTGGTCAAACAAAGATCTTCTGGATAAACCTAATTCTTATAAATGATAACTTTCCGGAACATGTACATGTATGTTGTGCCCAAATCATCTTCTTTTAGTTTAATTAAGGATGGCGTCACAACATTGTGACCATATCTCGAGTCTACTATAAAGTTGCTATTTTAATTATCGTCCAAGTCAAAACGCTGTTTCGATGAGTTATTACTAATGTTTTCAATTTTAACGTGTTTTTTGTCAGGTTTATTCATAAGAATTTATTATTGTGACAGTTTACTACTAATTTATGTACAGTCCGCACGGAAAGTAATGGCGGATAGATTTTAGTTGTGAGAATCTGCTGAGATGCGCACAAGACATAAAAAAATCATCATCAAAAAATTTGACCTTGGGGTCTGAAAGAATTTTGCAAAAATTTCTTAAATGAGCTATGCTAATATTTCATTCTTGCAAAAGATATAATATTTATCTTTACAAAAAAATACTCGAATTTCAATTATTTTTTTTTAGTTATTCATATAAAACCTCTTTTTCAAAAAATTTCATGAAATTTTTGTGACGCTGTATGCAATATGCATTTTGCAATGGTTTTAATAAGTCTAGATCTCAATTTTATACATAATATATGGCTATTTTTCAATTGAAAACATGAAAAGGAAAGCTAAGGTAATGATATAATAAAGCTGAAAATGTTGCAAAAGATTACTCATTGCACTAGTGAAAGAGAGAAGGTAGTTCTTAGGAGTATCATCCTTAGGCCAAATTGCATTCAAATTATAATTGATCAGAATGAAAGCATGTCGAATGCAAATATTTTAAGGGTATAAAGCCCTGTTTATAAGCATTCTAAAAACGAGTTTTATATACCAGCACATTCTGTGTGGACTGTATAATTGTAATCCCAGAACGTATTTGATAGAACTATTGATGGGTGCTCACGTTTTTTCTTAAATGTTTGATCTTTTGAGGTTTGAATTTATCTTACCAATTCCGTATATCTCCGAAAATAACCGCTCTTTTTTACGCGTATTTAAGCATGAAAAAAATTCGGATTAATTTTATATAGATTATAGTATATTTTCGAAGATACACAATAACTCTCGATATAACGTATAGGTTGAGCAATTAGAGAAAAATTTTCAAAAATCCGTCTTATCGTGAGTTTATTGATAAATTCATTACGGCTTATTTTGAATCTTTATCCAGAAATTCTAATTAGTCTCCTCTATATCAAAGTCGAGAGTCAGTACACGTACATATGAAATACATTACATATAAATCCTAGCATCCACATCATTTTTAAAAATTAATCGCCAGAATTTAATTATTTCCAATGTTGAACTTGATCTTGTGTACGGTAGTATAGCTACTGAACTTTATCTGTGCTCGATTCCTGATCATAGGATAACAAACTAATAAGAACGCGTAAAATCGTATGATTATCGAAGGGATTAGGGTTAAGGTTAGAACTATATATAAATTATCTCGCCGACATGAGTTGCAGTCTTAGCCCGTACTTTGCATTTTTTTCGTTTTATGTGTCCGTTTTGATCAATTTTAATTATTATAAAGCGAGAAAATGTGGCGAAAATTTTGATCTCGAACAATATCATTATAAAGTAAAAAGTATTTCATTATAAGTAGATTATTTGTATATTCTATATGTATTAAAAATGCATCGTTATCGAATGATAATAAAGTTTTTCTTTTTTTATTAATCCTTCTCAAAATTTTGCAGATTTGTTTATGAGAGGTATAAAAATAAATGCATGATACATGTATGTAATGACAGTATCTAATTATATGGATCTCATCTAACTTTAAAAAGTTCCAGGCCTCCAAAAATACATGTATATGTATCATGTATTTATTCTCACGAAATGCAAACCCTTTTTACATCAATATGCATCATCTGCATACATTGTTATTACATTTGAAACCAACACCCACAGGGCCCAGAAAAATACTTTCTTGAATTTGTTTAGTGCAAGCTCCATCTACACGTGAGTTACATCGAGACTCCGCAAGTGGAGGAGTTTATGTAATCTCACTCGGGTAAATTACACAATAATAACGATAAATGACATACATATTCTTTCATTCAGACACGGGATATGTATATGTACACAAAACTGCATGTTTATTATTGCCATCATAAGTTTGTTTTAAAAATTTGAAAAGATATGTGTTTCACTGCTAGCGCTAGGTTTTGCTTATTCTACGAATATTAAATAATACTGACTTAAGTAACATGTGTGAAATAATACATACTTTTGACTTAACTTAGGTAAGATGTGTGAGATAATGTGAGTGAATGGATCAATAAAGCTCGGTTTGCTTATTATAAGATACGATAGATAAATAAAATCCTATACTAGAAATAGACATATAATCAAAAGGTATATATATATAAATATAAATATATATATACATGATTATATAATTAATTAAGAAAAATAAATCCTTTTTTGTTGTTTTTATATACAATGAATTTTTTTGCCACAGGCTAAACGAGTTTTCGGTTGTTGAGCATTAATCACAAGATTATTCTTACAGCTATTTAACTTATTAGGCGAATGTGGTTTGAGGATATGTGTGCCTGGGCTCGAGTAGAAATTATAGTTTTTTTCTTGGAATAATGAAAAGAAAATAGAAATATACTAAAAAGGAAAGATGAGCGATCAGTAGCACATCTTAGCGATAATGAAAAAAAAATGATGAAAAAAATTAATACCGCGTGCATATTTGACACGAGATATTTATATTACAGCATGCCGCTATTGAAGAGGTGAAATAGAAGCATGTAACTACGTAAGCGTGGTAAACGGTGTTGTTGAAGGATGATAAAAAGGTATTAATCATAGGATGATCTTTGTAGCCCAAAACCTAATAATTTGTCAAAAAAGAATAAATTATAAAGGAAACTCTTTATTATACAAAAATTAAATAAGGTAAGAACTAACTAACCTGTAAGAATTGGTGTGTGGTTGGAATTCATCAATCTCATTCAAGAGTTTAGATAACAATATTTCGTATTCATCATTAGAACAGCGAAGCGTGGCTGCATAGCGACATTTCAATATACGAAACATTTGTACTAATAATCGTATCGAATATATAGTCAGATAATAAATTTTAACTTTTGTAAATACATAATGATGTAATGAACAAAAACAAACCTGCATTATCTGCCGCTAATTCGCCAACTCTCCCAGCCCATTTTCCAATACTATATTGACGCATATCTTGGTGAAAGTCAACGAGACGATTGTTATGTCGCAGAAGCTCGGGAATCTCCTTAACTGTGGATAAATCTATTCCGCGCGAGCCAAGATCTTCGATATCTAGGTGAATTCAAATGACGTCAACATTCCGTTAACATTAGCTAGCTCGAAGGGAATCAATTCTTTAAACTTACATATACGCATAAAATTTTGTAAAATTGGTCCTTCCTTTGACCAATGTACGTCACTCTCCATGATCTCTATCATTCCGCCGGGTTTCAAAATACGCACTAATTCTATCATAACAGTTTTCTGCCATTGCTCATCTGTTAGAGCAACAGCCAAATGACGTAAATAGATAAAGTCGAAGTGACTATCCGGATAAGTAAGTCCATCGAAAATATTTGCCTGAATGAAAGTCGCGTTCTGTGGCTTAATCTCAATTGGAAAGGTCGCGCTAATGTCTATACCGGTGAACGAGGACAACGGATAATTGGTTGCCATTTCTAAGACCCAAGTTCCTGGTCCACAACCAACGTCAAGAACTTTGGCTCCTCCCCGTTGCAGTTTTTCTTCCATTGCCGAAGAAAAATTTGACTGCCAGATATGGTGCAATAGAAAATGTAATGATTGCAATCGATCAACTTCTTCACGAATCGCTGGTAAGAAATATTTATTATCTTCGTCCATCTTAGAAATTCCTGTTGCTGGCGAAGGGTCGTTGATGAAGAATTGATGAGCGGATGAAGGACGAGAGGAATTTGAACTACAACTCTTTTTTTGCTTACGTTCATTAGGATGACTATAATTATTCCCCATTTGTTTGGATAAATAATATACAAATGAATGAAAGTACGAAAGAAAAATAACGATAAAAGAGAGTGAAAATTTGTCTAAGGTGAGGGAGAAAAGGTGATAGTAAGTATTCCTTCGATTCTAACTATTTATCTGCGAGAGAGCAGTGGCACGACATCACATTTTCCAGGTTATTTTACTTCCATAGATTGATAACAAAATGGTAATTTTATATAGACCTGCAAATTTATTCCGTGTGTGTGTGAAGACATAATTAATATACAGCATATAAATGCTTCCGAGGATTATAAATAACTATATTTTTTTCATATATACAAAAAATTAAATTATTATGCATATTGATTCGCCCGTCGAAGGTATTTATTTACATTTGGTAGAAATTGTCTTAAATGCCACATTTTTTAATTTAAGTCGCCGAATATATTGTGTTACTGCCCTATTTTTGTTTTCGTGTACCCATTAGTTTTATGATTTTACATGCACATAAAATTATGCATTTGACCGTTCTTAACTCACAAACTTCCCAACCTCAGATTCGATCAAGAGCAACCGATGTAAAAAGGTGGTTTAAAAGTTTGGCTCGGTTCTCATCATCAGCAACTTTCCAGAATAAAAAAGTTTTGATCAGATGATTTACACTCATCATTGGTTGTTTTAGTTTGGAGTGTGGCATTATTATGAAAATCATAGTCTTTTTAAGCTTAATGCGTTTACACGATAGAATTGTGGGATAACATCACATGTAGTGCTGTTTCAATCACTAGAACAGAAAAAAATTATTCGTTTAATTAGTAAAACTGCCTTCTTTATTGATTTGCGAAATCCTGTTACGTTTGCTTTGTTACTGGGGTTCAATAGCAATATTTGTCATCAAGTTGATCCCATTTTTTTTTTCAAAGGAAGCATTTCAGCCGAACTTTCGGTAAAACAAAGACACGTGCAATTAATTGTTGAATTACTTTTCTGGGTACTAGCACAGATACTTCATAATTGTTTAGCCGGCGCGCATAATTTAATTGTTCAAGGGACAATACAAAATTAAAAGAACATGTTCATTGAACTACCGATCTCGATATATAATATGCAAATTGATCTGACATAAACATGTTCAAAAGAAAAGAAGAAAATTCCATATTTAGTAAACATTTTGGCGATTTTCACGAAGAAAAGTTTGATTGTTAACGTTATATCGATCTATTTTACAAATCGAGATAGTTTAATGCATGAACTCGATAAATGAGTTAAACAATATTGAAGCTTTTTATTATTCATTTTGTTCTCCATTTAAACACGCATTAAGCTTTTGAATTTGTGTATCGTTTGTCATACAACATTTATGCTATAGGTGACACTTTTTCGTTCTCCTCCCAAAAGCTTTTGACGAAATTGTTGTGTCGCTTACACACCAAAATATAGGATATCCCATTGGTACTATATAAATTAATGGCAACGCAACGTTTTATGCAAGATTATGAATATATTGAAAGCGAAAAAATTTCTTTTAGGAAGGAAAGATAGCATAAAAATATACTTTATGTTATCAATGTTACCTGTTTTATCAATAAGGCTCACTTGCTGATATATTAAATGATTGTTTGAACGGGTACTGATACAACATCCCGGCACTCAAAATCCTGACATCCAAAATTTCGACATACCAAATTCCCGACATCATCCCGATATCTCAAAATCAAGAATTAAGCGGCATAAGTTCAGCTCTACCGCTACACTCAGTATTATACGTTAACATATTTCGATGAGGTTTTGACATAGTTTTGGCGCATCTTTATCGATATTAAAAGTATAATTTACGAAATTCATCAGTTTTTGGTCATGTCGAGATTTTAGGCGTTCGGGATGTTGGGTTTCGGATGTTTGATATGTCGAGATTTTGCTATGCCAGGATATTCGGTGACACTTTATTATTATCACGATTGAAAAAAAGGAAAATTCAGATGAATTACTATAATAGTGAAAAAAAAATTGCAAGCATGAATATAAAAATAATCAAATTATCTTCATAACAAGTCAATTTTGATTGGTTAATTTAGCGAAAGAATTATCTTATCTTTATTAACCTTTCAATACATAATTCTACTATGATTAAAAAGGTGCCTCGGTACCAATAGCTAAACAAAGAAAGAAAAATTAATAAATAAATTAATTTAATATTAATTATATAATAATTTATAAAGTTTATAAATTATATGAGTAATATAATTAATTATTATATAAGAATTAAAAATCTTCAATTTTACTATTAAAATTAGTTTTGTTAAATAAATAAATAAATTTTTCTTGAAATCATAATCCCGAAAATAAAGATATCATTATACATGTAAAAATAAAATTTTATATAAATAATAGTAAACAAATAATATAAAAACTAAAACCTAAATATCATTCTTGTCAAATTAATATATAAATGTTCAGTTAATATATTTA